ACTAACACCACACAGCTGCAGCAATGCATCAGTGCACTGTAACTAACACCACACAGCTGCAGCAATGCATCAGTGCACTGTAACTAACACCACACCTGCAGCAATGCATCAGTGCACTGTAACTAACACCACACAGCTGCAGCAATGCATCAGTGCACTGTAACTAACACCACACAGCTGCAGCAATGCATCAGTGCACTGTAACTAACACCACACCTGCAGCAATGCATCAGTGCACTGTAACTAACACCACACAGCTGCAGCAATGCATCAGTGCACTGTAACTAACACCACACAGCTGCAGCAATGCATCAGTGCACTGTAACTAACACCACACCTGCAGCAATGCATCAGTGCACTGTAACTAACACCACACAGCTGCAGCAATGCATCAGTGCACTGTAACTAACACCACACAGCTGCAGCAATGCATCAGTGCACTGTAACTAACACCACACCTGCAGCAATGCATCAGTGCACTGTAACTAACACCACACAGCTGCAGCAATGCATCAGTGCACTGTAACTAACACCACACAGCTGCAGCAATGCATCAGTGCACTGTAACTAACACCACACCTGCAGCAATGCATCAGTGCACTGTAACTAACACCACACAGCTGCAGCAATGCATCAGTGCACTGTAACTAACACCACACAGCTGCAGCAATGCATCAGTGCACTGTAACTAACACCACACCTGCAGCAATGCATCAGTGCACTGTAACTAACACCACACAGCTGCAGCAATGCATCAGTGCACTGTAACTAACACCACACAGCTGCAGCAATGCATCAGTGCACTGTAACTAACACCACACCTGCAGCAATGCATCAGTGCACTGTAACTAACACCACACAGCTGCAGCAATGCATCAGTGCACTGTAACTAATACCACACAGCTGCAGCAATGCATTGTAACTAACACCAAACAGCTGCAGCGATGCATTAGTGCACTGTAACTAACACCACACAGCTGCAGCAATGCAAGCTGTGCATTGTAACTAGCATCACTCTACATGGGAGGGATTCCAGGTAGAATTTCTTTTCTAATAGAAAACTGTGAAGAAAATTTAAAAGTACTTGGATTTTTTTTCTACTTACTAATTTGTAAATGAGACTATATTCTTTTTACAATTAGAAAAAAAGGATCCCTTATAGAGGTCAGATTATTTAATATTTTAAACATACAATTATGTCCTGGATTTTTGCATACTGCAAGACATCAGATCTTCTGAACACAGTATTTGCAAACTATATCTGCCAGTACTCTCACTAAGGTAGCACAGAAACACCGACTAACCCCAGTCTGTCATTCCATGGTCGGAGGTAAAGATAAACGCTGTTTTCCCATCATCACCATAAAAATGTTTGAATATTGACACAATTTCCTTCACTCCATCATCAACTTTTTTAATATTGCCCTTATATTCCCTGTTTACAAAGAAACAAAAGAACAAGTTAAATTAATTTAGAGCAATCGAATTCATCCAACCCCTACTCATTTTTACATTTAAGTCAAGAACTGAAGAAATGCTTTACTATTTTAAAATCAGAGGCTCCTGTTAAGACTAATTTTTCCCTTTAATGAATTTAAAAAATCCTCAAGTAATTTTCATAGACATTTTAAAAAGAAAATATTGATTAGTAAATATATTTTAATAAACACTTTTAAAATCCTAAACAGGATAATGGACTTTTAAGTCTATGTCATATAAACGGTTTTGGTAACCTTAATAGGGAACTATAATAATTTAAAATATAGACTATTCCCACCCTATAAAGTACTTGTGACTTAATCTGCTGCAGTGCTGAGAACTGTACTCAGGCTTCCCACATAGTTGCACAAAGCTGGTTTAATATGAGTATATTTCACTAATGAAAACAGTAAGTACATCATGTTAAACTAGGGAAAATGAGATATTCATGCTGGTAATTAAACCATCAGACATTACAGTTAGAATAAAACCAATTCAAAATAAAGAATAAAAAATTAAATGACTTCTTCTTTCTTATGGTCTGCAAAGCTGAGAATAGCGCTAAAGAAGTAACAAGCAACACTTTATGCAACCATTAGCTGGATACAAAGCTGACCAAACAAACACCCAAGGAATTACATCTTCTATTATAAAAATTCATAAAGTGTTTATGCTTTTGAGATTCACTGAAAATATTCCCAAAATGTGGATAATTCAGACATTTCTCTCTGCCTTGATAAGTGAAGAATACAGACTAGGTGAAGATCTATTTCACTTATTTTAATGTGCAGTGTGGCCAAAGCATACGTGATCTTAACTACTATAAACGATACATCATATAGCTGAAAACATTCTACAGGATAGCAGGAACATTAAGTATTAGTTCTGTTGTCATAACTACAAAGAAAATTTCATATCTCATCAAAATTTCAAATGGGACAGCTATTCCCCACAAGCTGAACTTGAACACATAATTAATATTACCTTGACGATGGTCGGTGAGCATGTCCATTTGTATCTATTCCTAATAAGTGTAAGAAAAAAACTACTTTTTCCTCATTCACTTTTGAGAACAAAGACTGGTTGTTCCTCGCATCATCAAAGAAGTCCTAAATGTAAAAAATCAGGTGAAAAGTAGTTAATTTATAAATAACTATAATTCATTTTATAGTGTTTAATTTTGTCATCAAGATATAACATGAAGTCTTTGTTATCAATTCAGACATTTATGTCCAAATAATCTTTGAGCTATTCTGATACAATTAGGCAAAATAATTATAGAAAAAGGAGCTTAATTTCATACTATTCTTACCACAGATCTACTGTAATTAAAAACTGAAGAACTATCTGGCTAAGAGGCAAATGTTAATCAGCAATGGTGGGAGGAGTACAGGACATTTATTATATTTAAGTATACTTGGAAATTGTCAGTTTTCATAACCCTGTCCACTGCCCTTTCAATCAAACTATGACCTCTTACTGAGGTTGTGAGAATGTCTAACTAATTTCTCATCCATGACTAAGACCTGCTTTGGCTGTCCAGTGGTGGAGAAACACCACTTAAATACAGTTCAGAACTTATTACATTAACATCCTAATAATAACCTAGATTCATAAGCCTTTCAGACATTAATAATTCACCCTGACTCACATTTATAAGCATGTATGCAAGCACCCAAAGAGAGCACTTTAAAATGATTTTAAATAAACCAGGCAGTGGTGGCGCACGACTTTAATCGTAGCACTTGGGAGGCAGACGCAGGAGGATCTCTGTGAGTTCAAGTCCAGCCTGGTCTACAACAGCTAGTTTCAGGACAGCAAGTGCTGTTATACACAAAAATCTCTCTCAAAAAATAAAAACAAAAAAATTATCTGAATAAACAGATTATGTTAGCACGTATCATCATTGTTTACATAAATGTATACAGATTTAAAAGATGCTAACTTTCCATAAGGTATTGTTAAAAATCTACATTGTATTTAAAAGCATAAGTGGATTAAGAGAAATTATTCAAGGATAAAACTGCCCTTAAGCTTCCATTTATAGTCTCCTTGAGTTAATTTTATAGTTTTCTCCATGAACCATAGACACAAGATTTGGGAAGCTATGAAACACTAACCAGGTGGAGCTCAACCTGTGTCTCAACAGTAGTCACTTCAAATACCTTTTTCAAGTTCTGCTGCTTAAAGAAGCTCACGGGCAATTAGTAAAGGCTAACCGACTTTGTCTTTTAATCTGTTTAGGCTTATTGGAATTTTCTCTTTTGTGCGGATTTTTTATGTGTTTGTGACTATATGTATGTTTACCAAATTCACACAGGTGCCCAAGGAGGCAGAAGAGCTGTCAGACCCCTGGAACTGAAGTTATAGGTGGTTGTGAGACACTCACAGTGCTAGGGATCAAACCTGGGGAGTCAACAGGAGCTGAGTCATCTGTCCAGCCCCTACTCTCTTAAAAATCTAATTTTTTTGTTATTATAAAATTACTCCTTTGCAATGGCATTTTCAAGATGTCCACATCTCATAAGGCCCACTACGACCAGCCCAAAGCTCCAAGGTCAACAGAAGGTTAAGAGCTGCCTGCAGTGACTCATCAAACTAGAAATGGAAAGAAGGTATTTCTGGATCCTAACGTAGAACTCGTTTACCTTGGAGTTTATCTCTCTCAACACAAAGTTTTAGAGAGATATTTCAAAAAATAACTTTATTAGTCATTTTATAAAATGTAATTTCTTTTAAAAATAGCGTGGTGCAACACCGAATGCTCCAGTTCAGACAGGCAGCAAACTAAACTTGAGATGAGCTCCCTCCGACATGAATCTTCAGGACTCTACATAAGTGTGTATTTAGTTACAAACCACTCAATAGCAAACACCTCCCCAGGTGGACTCACGTGTAAAACAGAACTTAGGACACTTAGGACAACTAAGGCCAGCCTGGGCTACATAACAAGACCCTCTTTCAAAACGAAGCAAAACAGCAAGTACCTTAACTTTATCAAAAACCCAGGTATCCAGTTTTGTGGCATCGTGAGCACCAAAATCCTCTTTTTGAGCATCATAACTATAGGTATAAACATGGTCACCACTAGCACCTGAAAAGGAATTTTGAGAAATACACAAATTGAAAAAAAAAAACCTTTTAAGCTTTCATAAAACATTAAATAATCAAAAGTATTTTTGCTGTTTTGAGATAAAATTGTTATATTTTCTTGAACTCAGGAGCTCAATTTATCCTTCCTCTTATGCTTCCTGAGTTCCAGGATTACAGGCATGCTGCCCCCATCATACTTGCTTTACTTACAAGTAGGCAGAATTAGTTACAAAATGCTTCATGATAGAGATAGGAAAGATAGGAGAAATAGCTTACTTTATATTATATCAATCATGTTATATACATCAACATTTTCTTTTTCTTCTCAAAATAATATATTTAGTCAAAATCCTAATATGCAATAAAATAAAAATTAGTTCTGAAGTTTGTTCCCATTGAAATATGTGCTCTCAAGAAGTTACAATATTAAATATATAAAGATGGCCAGCATACTTCTTCCTAACAAACTCATACATTTCGCTTGTCTTAAGATTATGTGCATTTGTCTTGACATAAGGAAGTAAATAGCCTAGAATTGTAGTGAGTGCCTATAATCCCAGAGCTAGGGAAGTGGAGAAAAAAACCACAGCTCTCCTGTCAGCCAGGCCCTGTCTCAAAAGCAAGGACTGGGGAAGAAGGTGGAATGCTGCTTAGTGCCAAATACCAAGGTGGTAAATATGCCAATCTTATAAATTCATGAAACCTGTATTAAGAATATAAAACAATTTCTGGAGTGGAGGGGCTTATTCTTAGTTATAAGTGCCCAGCCTTAGCCTGGCTTGTTTCTAGCCTGCTCTCCTTAACTTAAATTATCCCAAATACCTTTTGACTCTGGACTTTTATCTTTCTAACTTCTGTATATATAACTTTAACTCTTACTGTGTGGCTGGCTGGCCCCTGACGTCTTATAAGCCAAAATTATCTCAGAGCCTGTACCTCGAGGCCTGTACAACAGAGAAAAGCCTGGCTCGAGTTTGAAGGATTGTCTCAAAGCTAATGAAGATGAGACAGCAACTCCAGGTAGACGCCCCAGGCCAGAGAAAGGGCTTAGCTGACTCTCATTGGCTGGAGGTACCCACACATCGCATGATGTCACTTAACCTATATATGCTGATGCTCACAGTAATAAACTGAGTTCCTGCTTTAACTTGACTCCCTATCGCTTCGGATTGTCCTGCTTCGTAGGGCTGCTGGTCTGATTGCCCTGCATCATGGAGCTGAGAATGGGCAGATAGCACACTCACCTTTCCCTGGTGATAAGGAGGCTAAGGAGACCTAGCAACGTCTTTCTGCCTTTGTTCTCTTGTTTGTTCCTTCTTGGTTCTCCTATTTATTCTCTCTGCCTGCCAGCTCTGCCTATCCTTGCTCCTGCCTCGCTATTGGCCATTCAGCTCTTTATTAGACCGCCAGGTGTTTTACACAGGCAAAGAATCACGGCTTCACAGTTAATCAAATACAGAATAAACAAAAGGAGCACACCTTAGAATAATTTTCCCCATCTACGACATCAGCTCTGCGCTACTGACTCTGACTATGCTCGGTCATTGTACTCCCCAAATGCAGACCTCTGAAGGAGTTGGTTATTTACCACCACACATAATGAACCATTCTTATTGGCCTGTGGCGTCAGTTCTGTTTTATCAACTGTGGCCAGAAGAAGAAAGACTAATTTTGTAAGCCACGGTAGCTTAATCAGCCCTCACTGCTTCCTAAAGAATGAGATATAAACTAGCAAATGGGACGTGCCCAGTGTAGCACCAGCTTATGAACAGCACATGCACAATTCTGATCATACGGTTCGCTTTTGGGACACATAACTTTCTTCAGTACTTCCACTATCTTCACATTAAATGATCTGTCACTTTGCTCCCAGGAAAGATCATTTAACGACAAGAACTTCATCCAACTGACTTTTTCAAATATATTTTCTAATTAAGAGATGACCTAGTATTTGTGGATTTGTCCACATAAACAAATTCAACAAATCCTAACTCCAATGCAGTGAACTGTAAGTAGCATTTCAATATATTAAATAACATATTAGTATTATATGCATTAAATGCCAAAACTATGGCACAATAAATAGATTAGTCATTATAAATGTTTGCATATTTAAAATCTTATGTAACTATCAACTGGCTTCTTTAACAAATTATCCAAGTATAAAGAGCCAAACACCAATACTGTTCCCATAATGAGAACAAGCACTTTGATAAATGATACACGTGAATCATTGAATTTTAAAACAATCTTTTATGGTGTTACATTATTAGAACATATTTTATATAAAGGAAAACTGGAGCTCAAGTTAATAAGGTTGTTATATGATAAAATATATCATTTCATTGAATTCAAAAATACTAACAGTGTTCTTCCAAAAAATAAAAAATAAAAACAATTTTAGCCGGCAGTGGTGGCACATGCCTTTAATCCCAGCACTCAGGAGGCAGAAGCAGGTGGATCTCTGGGAGCTCAAGGCCAGCCTGGTCTACAGAGCTAGTTGCAGCATACCAGGACACCCAGAGAAACCCTCTCTCAAAAAACCAATACACACACACACACACACACACACACACACACACACACACACACACAGTGTTCCACAGCAATATTTAAAATGCAACAAAGGAGAAATCCTATCTGTTGAACTGACAAGTCCACTGTATGACACATACCTGTTTTCAGAAGTGATAAAAATCTTTAGAAATAAATAAATACAACATAACAAAAATAAAACCCAGCAAGATGGCTAAGCGGGTCTATGCACTTCTACCAAGCCTGACAACCTGAGTTCCATCCCTAGGATCCAGATGGTAGGACATGACTGCTGCAAATTGCCTCTGACTTCTACATGAGTACCATGTGCACCATGAGCACACAAAATATATGGCTGGCCTGGAACTCACTATGTAGGACAGGCTGGCCTCAGGCTCAGAGAGATCTACTTGCCTCTGTTTCCAGAACACTGGGACTGACGGCATGCACCACCACTCCAGGCTAAATGAAGATTTGGGGTTTTTGTTTGTTTTAGATAAAGAATAAAAAACCAAGGGACAGAGTATAATAGAGTAACAGACTAGCCTCATATGGGAGAGGTCCTGAGGCCAATCCCCACCACTGCAACAATAAAAACATTTCCTTCTGACTTACTTGCTTCCTGAAGAAATATGTTTGATACGCTTACCTTTGGCAAACATAGGCAAGATGTCCGGACTCCCCCAGCTCCATGTGTACCTGCTCTCATTAAAGAGAGAGTCAAATTCGACAGGATTTTCTTTCCATCCTGAGAAGAGAGGCACACAGTAATACAAGAAAACAACAAAAGAAGGTCTGAAAGAAGCATTCTTTAAACAGTAATTGAAGACAACACATAAAACTCAGATTTTATTAGGCTTATTATAGGCTATCTTAAAATAAATGGAAGAAGCTGGGCGGTGGTGGCACAGTCTTTAGTCCCAGCACTCAAGAGGCTGAGGCAGGTGGATCTCTGTGAGTCCAAGGCTGGCCTGGTCTACAGAGAGAATTCCAAGAAAGGCTCCAAGGTTACAAAGAAACCCTGTCTTGAAAAAACAAAAACAAATAGATAGATAGATAGATAGATAGATAGATAGATAGATAGACAGACAGACAGACAGACAGACAGATAAATGGTAGATAATCCATTTCTTGCTAAAATAATCACTTTTAAATTCTTGATTGTAATGTCTAACATTATTTACACTAACATATTTACACACATACTTTTTCAGCGCCATAGGGTTATGGCAGATTAAAATTTAATACCAGAATCAATACCAGGGAGTGTTCATGTGAGTGAGGCATACTCAAAGACTTGTTAAAAGAATCTCAAAGCACAATCTTGGGACTTGACAGATGGCTCAGAAGTTAAAAGCACTTGCTGCTCTTGCGAACCCTGGTGTCCTAGGTTTAGATTCCAGCACCAATACTGGGTGGCTCACAACCACCTCTCACTCTAGTTCCAGGGAGTTGAATACCTTCTTCTGGCCTCCATGGGCACCTGCACACACACATGGGGTGCATAAACAGACAAGCAAATACACACACACACACACACACAAATCCTTAAAAACAGATTGAGCTTTCAACTAATGACATGATTCAGTGGTAGGAAAAGCATTTATATAGCAAACATTTTATCTGATAAAATTGTTTTAGAACAGAACCTTTGGCAACTGCACTGACATCCTCATAAAACCCAGCTATTAGGGCTACATGGCCAGGGCGAGATTCTGTTGGCACGCGTGTGTGAGATACTCCCCAGCTGCCTTCATGCATTATGACGTTCCTAAAAGACAATCGGGATGGACAGTTAACATACGCTAGTATTAAAACTCTCATAAGGCTTTAAGGAAGATCTTTATGTAAGGAGTCAAAAACCAAAAAGTTAATTTTATGATGGAAAGGAATCTCAAAACCCAGTTGATCCCAATCCTATACTGCCCATCAATTCATCACAGTAGCATGAAGGAACCTAGGTAATATAACAAAGAAAATACTCCCCTATTCCAGAGAAATAAGAGACAAACCACACCCTAGAGTTCTAAGCCACAAAGCAAAGATGTTTGCTAATGGAGGAAAACAATGACATACAGAACGTTACATTGTTAAGTTTTATTTGCTGCGAGGATGGTATATGGCTATATAAAATGAAATCTTTGTTCTTAACACATGCAGTACAGTGTTTGGTGGAGAAACGCCACATTGTCATATTTTCATATTGTTTAGGGTAAAAAACTAAAAAAATTATTATATATATTGACACAGTTGAGTGTGTAAAAAAATCACCATATTTTTAAGAATAAAAAAAAAAAAAGGCCAGGGATGGAGGTACACGGCCTTAATCTGAGGGCTTGGGAGGCAGAAGCAAGCAGATTGCTAAGCTTGAGGTCAGCCTGGTCTACCAATGTCCAGGTCAGTCAGACCATATCTCAGAAAAAAAAATGTTTTTTGTTTCAAAAAAACTGTCAACTGTAAACTAATCAATGCTTATCAATTAATTCATAATACAATCTTTGCTTCAAACTCAATCTACCATTTCTAAGACACACCCGGATCTTGGTGCCGTCCTTACCTAATAAACGGTGCTCTAGAGTTACCATCTTCATCTAATTCATAAAGAGCATCTGCTCTCAGGCCATCGGCAACAAATAACACTAATCTTCTTGCTGGGGGAGGCAATGGTGTAAACTGAGGAGTCATCCCATGAACCAAAGGAGATGTAAAATAAATGTCAAAGATGGAGCTGAAGAACACAAAATGTACAAGCAATCCCAACGCAAAAAACAGCAGCATATCCAGAATGAGCGACCTGCAAGAGAAGCCAAAACAGGGAGCAAAGTCAGGCTGGACACGCGGGAAAAGGATCTTCAGCATATCTGATGGCTTCACACACTGGCGCTGTGTCAGGATACTATACAACTCCCTCATTTATAATGCTAACAAAAACACTGTTTAACAACTTAAGATAATACTGAAGTAAAATATATGCTAAAGTACACCAAGCAAAAAGAAATCAAGTTCATGGGGGCTGGAGAGATGGCTCAGCAGTAAGGAATACTAGGTGCTCTTCCAGAGGTCCTGAGTTCAGTTCCCAGCAACCACATGGTGGCTCACAACTATCTATAGTGGGATCTGATGCTCACGTCTGGCATAAAGGTGTACATACAGATAGAGCACTCATATACATATAATAATAATAATAATAATAATAGCCATGATGTTTTAAAAAAGTAATCAAGTTCAATTAGGATTAATAAACTATAACTAATCCAGTTAACTACTAAACAATTAAAACTTAGCAAAGGAACATAGAACAAAAGGTCATATAATTAGTTAGGTAATCACAGAAAATCCTAAATAACACAAAAAATGTAACTCAAGTCACTCTTGGTTGTCCGCATGGCACTGTTCCCACTCCTAGAATTAAATTTATTAAATTACTTAAATCTTTAAATTTTGAGTTAATTTTTTTCTACTTTGGTAGTCACCTTAGAGGTTTGACTATCTAATCAGCAATAAACTGAATGGGAATCTGCATTCTATCCACTCTGTGAGTGACACACAAGAAGTTAAACTTCATCTGTGCTTCAGAAAATCTATACTCCTTAAATAAATACGTTATTCCCTAAGTCAATAAAAAGGGTTTTATTTACTCATTAAATGAAATTATTGGTCCTTAAAAAGGAGCACTCGGAAGACCTATCAGAGATCTAATGAGCTTACAAATGCTAAAGAAAGAAAACCACGCAAAGTGAAATGACTAAATAATAATGTAAGATAGTATAGCCATTAAACCTCAAAGACCAAAGCGTCCATAGAAATGCTTTCAAACAGGCTGTCATTTTGCTTTTGTTGGTAAATGTGTCCACAGATTAAGAAATAAAACATGTGCCTTTAATCCCAGCACTTGAGAGGCAAAGCAGGCGAATCTCTGTGAGTTCGAGGCCAGCCTGGTCTACAAGAGCTAGTTGCAGGACAGGCTCTAAAACTACAGCAAAACCCTGTCTTGAATAAACAAACAAACAAACAAAGAAAAAAAAACAACAAAAAAAAAAAAGAGAAAGAAAACATGAGAAGCAGTATTAGGTACCTGTAATGACCTTGAGCTGAAAAAGCCACGAGATGAGAATTACAGACACATTTTATTCTCCCTGGTCTGAAGAATCAAATGTCACATGGATTCATGTGTAAATGTCCTGTAAAGAGAAAAGAGACAGTATAAATGTGCTTATCAAAGACAAATTTAAAAAAATAAAATGAACCAAAAGGTCAAAATATTTTATTCTAAGGGAATTTAGGGTAAACAAAATAAAGACTAATTTTGCAATCTAATCTCTCAGTGCAATGCTTGCTTCTTTCCAAATTTATATGATCATTAAACTACACAGTGGGTACCATCAAGACAATGGAATTCTGAATATTAATAATTGAAACACAGAAAAATTAGCCAGGATTCTACTACCTTAATGAGCCAGCAGTTGTCATGACCCCTTGGAAGTCTGAGGACTCTTCACAGGGTTAACAGAAGATCACTAGAAAATACAGATGTTTACATTATGAGATGTAACAATAGCAAAATTGCAAATATTTGTGAACAGTTTCTTTTAAAAAATTATCTTGTTGGTGGGCGGTAGTGGTACATTCTTTAATCTCAGCACTTTGGAGGCAGAGGCAGGTGGATTTCTGTGAGTTTTGGTCAGCCTGGTCTAGAGAGTGAGTTTCAAGACAACCAAGGCTACACAAAGAAACCTTGCCTTATAAATAAATAAATAAATAAATAAATAAATAAATAAATAAATGGATTGGTGAATGAATGTATACATAAATAAAATATACCCCTTCTCCATTTTTATGGAGATAAAGATCTCTATATATTTTTAAAATAGATATTAACATTTGGAATGTTTTAATACCGTTTAGGGTTTGTGTGTGTACACTCACACATGCACATGCAAGCCATGTCACAAACATGAAGAAGAGAAGGCAACTCTGAATGCAAACACTAGGCCTACAGGGTCATCTTGCTGTCCCCGCTATTCATTTTTCCTTGCACGTCTCTTAAAAACGAACTTCCCATGTATCACATACCATTATCACATTTTGTCCTGTAAATGCATCTTTGCTAATAAATCCCAAATTGAAAAACACTGAAGTAGTTTTGTATAGTGATATATTATTTGTATTTAATAAATAAATCTTGCCTGAAGAACAGAGGCAAAGCTAAAGCCACTAGAGGTCAGGAAATGGTGGTACATTCCTTTAATCCTAGGATTTGGAAGACAAAATCAAAAGGATCTTTGTGAGTTCAAGGTCACCTTGGGCTACTCAATCAAGGCAGAAACAAAAACAGGTAATTGTGGCTCACACCTTTAGTCCCAGTCCTAGGGAGTCACACACCTTTAATCCCAGAACTTGAGTTAATATTCATGGGAGGAGAGAGAGGCTTAGTCTCCTTAGTCTGCAGTTGCCCAGCCTTGGTAAAGGTAAGACTTCTTAGTAGCTTGGCTGCTTTGCTTTTCTGGTTTTCGGGTTGAACCCCAATTTGTCTCTCGATTTTTATCATTCATGCTATAGTTTGTCCTCCAGTTTTGACTATCAATAGCAGTCATGTGATTTAAAAATGTATATGTAGGCTTTGGATTTAGCTCAGCCGACTTATCTGTTCAGTACATAACTATGGGTTCGATGACTTAATGTCTGCTTTTGTCACTTTGCGATCATTCAAGGACAGCAGGAAAGGTCACTCTTTGCATCCATTACAGTTCTGTGCAAAGACTCAAATGTTTGTTGAGTAAATCATTTAGAATTATGTTTCAATACCAATATGTCCAATAGCCACTAGAGGTCATTTTGCTCCTCTGTGTTTCCTGAATAAAATCTGCGAAGTTCCAAAGATATTTTCAAAACAAACACAAAAAAGCCCATGTTTTATGTATAAGTAATTTATTATACATGAAGTTTCAGTGAATTGAAAGTATGAATATTTATCCAATCACATTTATCTCAAGCAATATTGCCATATAACATTTTTCTCTAAAGGGAATCACTTTTTATTCACATTTATTAAAAAGTAAAACTTCATTGGCATAATTAATTGTTTGAACCTTCAAAATAAATGCATAACTATTAAAATTAAAGCATACATATTCACTTCCCTATTCAAAAATATAGTTTACATCTGTTTTGTTTAACCAGAAAAGGGGAAATGGTGTAGGAGGTCCTTCTGTTTATGTGTTGCTTTCATTGGTTAATCAATAAAGAAACTGCTAGGCCTGATAGGGCAGAACTTGGGTAGGCAGAGTAGACAGAACTGAATGCTGGGAAGAAGGGCAGAGTGGCAGATGCCATGGATCCCCTGCCTGGGATGGACGCTGGTTAGAATCTTGCCGGTAAGCCAGTTATGTGGCCATACAAAGATTAATGAAAACGGGTTAAATTAAGATGTAAGAATTAGCCAATAAAAAGTTTGAACTAAAGCACCAGGCAGTGTTTAAATGAATACAGTTTCTGTGTGATTATTTCGGGTGTAAGCTAGCCAGGTAGCCAGAACGAAAAGCAGGCCCTCTCTCTTTGCAATATCGTGGGATATTTACCACCATAAACTAAACACTAATAAAGTATTAGACACTATCAAACATTAAATCAACAAAATGCAAACATTTATAATGTTATTAGTGGTAATTTAAGACAATTAAATCCTCAAATAATTTTAACACATAAATAATTAAAAGTGTGCCAGGCAGTGGCAGCATACACCTTTAATCCCAGCACTCAGGGAGGCAGAGGCAGGCGGATCTCTATGAGTTTGAGGCCAACCTGGTTTACAGAGTGAGTTCCAGGACAGTCAAGGCTACACGGAAAAACCATGTCTCAGAAAAAAATTACAGTGTTTTTTTTTAATCTTTTATATTTTTATTGCTAAGAAACAAATGTCAACTACTATTTTTATTCCGATGTCAGCCTAAAAGGCTTTGATCTGGGTCAGTCTTCCAATGGAGAAAGAAAATTTCCAACAGCTATTAATAAATTATAAGTCAGAAATTCTTAATATCCCAGTATATGCATTAAAGCAATTCATGCACAATACGGAGAGGCAAAGTTACCTTATGGTGCCCCAGCACTCTGGAGGCAGAGGCAGGTGGATCTCTGAGTTCAAGGCCAGCCTGATCTACAAGAGCTAGTTCCAAGACAGGCTCCAAAGCTATGGAGAAACCCTGTCTCGAAAAAAAAAAAAAACAAAAAAACAAAACAAAATTACCCTATGGGAAGACTGGTCAGTTGATTTCCTGAGCAATTCAGTTAGGTAAACAAGCCTGCAGTTACAGGATAAGAACTAGAAATCTAACTACAGATGTGTACACCAGTCACAGAAGAACTCAAACGTTCAACCTAAGACTCAGAGGCAAACACTTCAAATCTATTTTCTATTTGCACTTTAGAATCCAGGCCCTAGATTAAAGCTGCTGCCTCTCTCAGTCCTCCTGACTAAACTGCTTTTCTGGGCTCCCTTAGCATTGGTACTTGTGTTTTAAAACCTGCCAACTGTCCTCAGTATCCAATACTCCACTAATTATTCCTGGCCACACTAACATCTGCTGCAGACCAGGCTCCATGACAAGAGCATTCACAATCTAGGTCCATCATCCGCCTGGGCAGACCAATGCAAGCGAAGCTCAAGCATTTCCAGCGTCACCTAATAAGAAATGTGCGTAGGCTCCTCTGTCATTGTCAGTGCCGCTCTCTTCAGGGATCCCGAGGGTAGCTTCCCAAACTTTCTCATTACAAAGAAGGAAAAAGTGGACATAACAATGCAATTCACTAATACTCTATTTCAAAATTTCATTTTTAATCTCTTTGACAATCTCAAAGTAAGCACTGATAATCCCTTTTGCTAAGAAATGTGAAACACAATACAATATTGGCCATTTTCAGATTCATTAACAAATGGTACAGAACAGTATTTACCCGAAGAATTGGAAGCCAAAGTTTTATTTAAATAACAGCAAAATCCTTACTACTAAAAATATCTTTCAATTATCTTACAATGCAACAAGGTTCCTTACAGTCTTTCACAATTCGGGGTAAGTTTCTCTTTAGGTCCCTGACCCCTCTTCCCAACTTAAACCGTCTATGCCCACTTCCTTACTCCTCCTCCCATGTAGTGATAGTTCATTTGTATTTTAACAAATAAAGTTTGTCTGAAGACCAGAACGCAAAACGGTCACACTAGTCAGCCATAAAGGCCAGGTAGTGATGGCACACACCTTGAATCCCAGCAGCCACACTAGTTAGCCATAGAGGCTGGGCAGTGGTGTTACAGGCCTTTAATCCCAGCACCAGAGAGGCATATAAGGCAGGGTGACACAGGAACTCACTCTCTTTCAGTCTGAAGTTTTCATAAAGGTATAAGCTCTCTAGTGGCTTGGCTGCTTTGCTTCTCAATCTTTCTCTGGGTTTTTATTATTTGTGCTACAATTGGTGCCAAACATGGGGTCCGAACCCACAACCCTGAGATTAAAAGTCTCATGCTCTGCTGATTCATGCTACACTCCCTCCTTCATATCACATGTAACACTATTTAAAAGCTTCTAAGAAAACACAAACAACAATAATAACAATGACAAAAAACTCTCAAAGTCTCGTTCAAATGAAATTGTAGTTTATTGATTAAACTGAAATGAAAGCCTACACTTAGCTCCTGGCATACTTCACATGTAAACCAATAGCCGTATCTAAAGTCATATAACAATGCTCTATTTTTATCTTCCACAAAGATAAGGGGGCACTCCAGGGCTTCACTGTGACAAAGCAGGCAGTTGGCACAGCAGCATACTAATTGTATTGTCTCTTAGGAGTTGTTTAGTTGGGAAATTAAAACAAGGAAAAAGTGGCAAGCTGTGTGTAACAAAATGAAATAGCAGTCCAAAACTAACGGCTGGGAAACATCTCCTTATCACCTCGGCCAACAATCAAGGAATAATACAAAAGATAAACGATCTTCCAAACTTAGGAGTATAGTTCTGTGCTAAGGTTTCACAAAGAAAATCAACTCTTTCTACAGCGTGCATTTTTTTTTTTTAAAAAATCGTTAAGCTCTACAATCCAAACCTTGATTCTAGCCTAAATAAACTCAGAAAAGTTTCAGGGGATTGTGGGACAAAAGATGGGTGATGCTAGTACCACTGAATGTGTCCTACTGGAATGGAATGACAAGGTCATCAAGGCTGCCCAGACTAAAGTTTACAAATTTCTAATGGTAGATTGAGATTAACAGTTTGAAATTTTCATTTGGTGCAAACTGTACGTTAGTTCCAAGGGTTTACGGAGCACTGAGTTTGTCGTCCAAGTCCAAGCAGTTCACAGATGAGTGCAAAAGCAACTCGAAACTCGAGTGCAATTTCCGTTGAGGCAGCAGCTCTCTAGGTCTAATTCTGGAGACCGAGGGGCCGCCCTCTCCTAACTGCAAGGAAGTCATGCGCTCGCTAGACCTCCAAGAACAGAAGAGCAAAGAGCAAGACTCTGACTACTGCCCGTGGCACTTACTATCTGGGCGGAGACAGCAAACAGCTGCAAAAAAGGAAGCTTGAAGGGAGATGCGAGCGTGAGGCCACCGTGCCGGTGCGGCCACACCTCAAGTGCAAGGGTCTCGGGACTTTACCTGGGGCTTATCCGGCTGAGGTCGGGTCTCGGGAACCTTCTCTGCACGAAGTCAGGACACGGGCATGAACGTCCCAGAAAGGCCCCTAGCCCTCCCCAAAGCACAGCCTAGCTTTGCCCCTCAGCCACCTGCGCCCCTGCAACACCAGGGAACGCCCCCAAGTTGCCCAGGCCTCCCCAACTGTCGCGATACCTCCAGCGAGCCCCAGAAGCGCCAGCCAATCTGCAATGGGTTATGGGCGTGGCTTTAGTTTGAGTCCAGAGCGGGCCCTTCAATCTTCCGACTCCTGGGCCTGAAGTGGGTGGAGCTGAAGCGGGGACGGGGCGGGGCAAGGACGGGACACAAACCAGTTCTCGCGAGACTAGAGACCAGGAAGACGCCTGCAGAGCCGGCTGCTGGTGCAGCGGCGACTGAGGTTGCAGGTGCTGCTGCATCCCTGCCTCCTAACTCCCAGTCCGGACTAGTCTGTAGGTGAGAAGAAGGGACGCGGTCCGCCCGGGCTGTCTAAGTGCTCAGTGGCTCCCGGGATCTAACGGGGATTCAGATTGCGGCCTGTCGGGCCAGGCAGGGAAGCACCCACACTCCTGACGGTAAGATGGCGGCTATGGCGCCCGGAGGTGGTGGCAGTGGCGGCGGAGTAAATCCATTCCTTAGCGATTCCGATGAGGACGACGACGAGGTAGCGGCGACCGAGGAGCGGCGGGCAGGACTTCGGCTGGCTGCTGCGGTCGGCCTGGATCCTGGCTCTGCGGACTCGCTGTCGCCACAGGACCCTATGGCCCCGGGGAGCAGCGCGCGACCGGGGCTCCCGGTGGAGTCGGCCGCCCCTCCGGCGGCCCTGGGGGGCAGCGGGGAGACCCCTGCCCGATTGTCAATCGATGCCATCGCCGCCCAGCTGTTGCGCGATCAGTACTTGCTGACTGCCCTGGAGCTGCACACAGAGCTGTTGGAGAACGGCCGCGAGCTACCACGGCTGCGCGATTACTTCTCCAATCCTGGCAACTTCGAGAGGCAGAGTGGGACTCCACCAGGGATGGGGCCGCCTGGGATCCCTGGAGCATCAGGCGTTGGAAGCGCTGGAGGTCGGGAACCGAGTACGACGTCGGGCGGTGGGCAGCTCAGTAAGTAGCCGCAGCCTATCACACCTGCAGGCCTGGTATTAGAAGAATCACTGTGCTCTTGAGGGTTTTTGTGTGCGGGCTGTGAGTCTAGGGTCGTTTTGAGAAGTGAGACAATATTGAGCGAGGTGGGTGGTGCCCTGCGTAGTGGAAGCAAGGGGATCCCTCTGTGGCTGTTCTTTGTATTGGCTCTGATCTTTGGCAGGGGTTGCACTGCTGCTCTCCCCTCCCTACCCCCACCCTACCCCCACCCTACCCCCGTTGGTATTGGGACCCATAACATCAAGAGTTTCCTGTTTATTGGCAATTATGGCACTCTAGAAAACTTCCTTATTGGGCAATTTGCTCTAGGCATTTTTCCTTTTTCCCACAGTCTCTTGAATCATACTACCAGGAAATAATGTTTCTTAGTAATTCTTTGATTCACTGAAGAACTGAAAAGAAAATGGCATAGGAAATGGCAGCGCACTGTACTGCTGTTAGGGTCACTGAAGACCTTTTCTCTTTGGAAGACTTAATTCAAAAATTGTTTTTTCCATTATTTTGTATATTAATTTATGCTAATAAAAAGAAGGAAATGGGATTTCTCTGCTTCATTGGTTGTGTTCTGTTTAAATAATATCAACATAACTTAATTTCACTACCCTAAATTTGGTAGGGTTCAATTTACAGGAAGGCTGTGGAACAAACCAAGGATCTTCTGCCACCTTTTTTTCACCATACCACCACTGTGTAGACTTTTTTCTCTGAATAAGCTAATCTATTTTTTTCTTCTTACATCATTTTTAGCAGCAGAGTAATCACTGATATAGCCATTATTTATATATAAGTTTTATATGAGCATTCTCAGTTTTCTTTTTGAGAGACATCAAATTTTTCCCACACTGATGCTAATACTTTGGTGTGTTTTGTGAGGCCAACCGGAATTTACTAACAAATCAGCCTAATTGATTTCTCTAAGTGTCTGTACTTTTGAATGATTCCAGAGGATGTCAATTGCTAACATTTGATGTAGTAGAACTGGAAAGGGTGCATTTTCTATCAAGGGAACTCCTAGGCATATTTCCTTCTTTAATACCTGTCTAAATTATCTAATAAGTATCACCTGACAAACTCCCTCATCAGAACCTGGGCCAAATGTCCCTTTTATAGTACTTTATGTGCATCGCAGACTTAGTTTTAACCTACATCATAGCCTTTGGCTCTTTTGTATGGCAGTAATGATTTAACAGTCATTTCACCTGTTAGCTTGGAGGTCCTGCCTCTCTTTTACCAGGACTGAGATTTAAACCCAGGGCCTTGTATCTTATGAACAAACTGTTCTATCTCCCCAGTTTTGTGCGTGCGTGCGTGCATGTGTGTCTGAACGAGAGGATGACTACTGATCAGAAGATGAGGACTTTTCATATCTTTTCTTTTAAGTCGCAGTTCTAGGATTTGAACTCAGATCTCTCTCTTAACATTCATTCTACCACAGCTACTGTATTCTGATACAACTCAAGAAAAGTTAGGTTGTTTCAGTATATGATCAAGCAAAGTATCTAATAATTCAGAGTATGTCTTCACTCAAAATAGTCAAGCAGGTGATACAGAATTGATCATTTAAAGGATGAATTGAGAAAGCATAGCCCCATATTAAGGGGAAGATGCATGATCTGCCAGGAGTATCACTTTATTAAGGTAGCATTAACCTCAAAGTCAGGACAGTCAGACTGTGCATGTGATTTGTAAGCTCTCCAGGGTAAGAGGAGCAAGCACATTTGTAGTAGATTATTTTTTATTCTTTTATTCTATCAGAATTTCATACAATATATTTTGATCGTATCCATGTTCCATTCCTTCCCCTAACTCCTCACCCATCCAACTTCAAGTTACCTTCCCTTCTTTTTATATAACCCACCAAGTCTTTTATGCGGCCAAAAATTCATGGGTGTGAGCCCCTTCACTAGAGCGTGGTTTTCCTACCAGAGACCATATCCTTAATGAACTGACTCTTCCCCCAGAAACCACCGATTGTCCCTGACTCCTCAGGTAGTTGTGTGGACTTGTGAGCCCCTCCCTACTCCTTGTTGGAATGTGGATTGGCTTGATCTTGTGCAGGTCTTGTTCAGGGCAACCACAGCAGCTATGAGTTCATTGGGCTGGGTCCTGATGAGGGATCTATCATTAGTCCTATCATATCCAAAAGACAATTTTTTACTAGTTCTTTCCAGCCTCTGGCTCTTTGGATCTTTCTTCACCCCTATTTTCCAATAGTCCCATGAGGCTTTGGGAGATATTTGCATTTGTGGTAGAGCACTCTACTGGGGTTATCTAATCAGTTGTGAGTTTCTACTTAACTACCAGCCAGATCCAAGTACATTTATCAACTATTCTGAATCAAGTTATCACAAGAGGCCAACTCAGCTTGTATGATTGGTTTCAGCCAACAAGCTTAGCTGCATGATTGCATGTGATTTTTCTGGTGACAGAGAGTGGCTCAGCCTCAAGGAGAATAAAACGAAGTTGTAAGCATGGGTGTAATCTTCCAGATTGTCTCACCCATTGCAAAAGTACAAGTCAGATTGTTTTTAAAACCTGCTAGTCCTGTTGTGGAGGTGTAAGATTGTTCAAAGTAGTGTCATCAAATTTTTATGTTATTTTTGCCATCTCTCAGCTCTGTATTTGTGTGCTGCCTTAGTTCATACTTTCAGCTTGATTCTGAACCACAAACTTTACCCTTATTTTGTGGCTTGATGTCATCCTCTCTCTTTATTCTATTTTCGTTCTACTTTACTATTACTAGTTACTGCTGTTAACACAGATTTACATTTCCTTGTACTGGGATACAAAGTGAAGTAAACAATCCTGTGCACCATGTAGGAAAGATTATCAGAGAAAAAGTATGAACTGGAGCCAGTGTTGGTGTGCATGCCTTAATCCTAGCACTCAGGAGGCAGAAGAAGACAGACCTCCAAGTTCAAGGCCCGCCTAGTATACAAAGTGAGTTCAAGGACAGCCAGGATTACACAGAGAAACCCTGTCTCAAACAAAACAAAACAAAAAAGTATGAAATGAAATAGGATATAGTAGAAAGGCAAGGAATATAAACACCATAGTTAAGGGAACATGTCACAAATAAAACGGCACTTGTGGAGCTTCCAAGAAGAGATGGAGAAGTGCAGAGGCTATGAAAGCCTCAATGCAAGATAATTAAAATTAATCTTTTCCTTTGCTTATTTTTATTTAATGTGTATTTGTGTGTACCCACAAGCAGAGACCAGAGAACAACTATGCAGAGTTAGTTTTCTTTATAGCTGGGCAACTAATAATGAGGCAACAACATCAAATGTACATATAAATAAAGCTACTTTTACTTGTGATTTATAGAGCCACTCTGAGTATCTTATATTCAGCACGTATATAATAGATTTAGTTCTCAGCCTTGATAAAGTTAAGAACAGTTTTGCTCTTTTTACAACTATGGTGCCTCATTAGTTGCCCAGCTATAAAGTGAATTATTAAGAAGTTACACAGGAGACATGCTGGCTTATGAAGAAACACTTTGTGGCTACCGCATTGTGTATTAGCATGTACTTACTCTGTGGTATTTTGTTTTGTTTTTGGATAGATTCTCTAATCATGTTTTGAGAAGAAGTCCTGGGTTCAAATGATTACCCTACCTCAGTTTCCCAAGTAGGTAGAATGGCAAGTGTATGTCGTATATCACATCTGGTTGCATTCTTTTTTAGCAAAAGAGGTTAATTTTTCCAAAATTTCCCTCAAGTATTAGACCATTTGGAATATAATAGACACTTGCTTGTCCTAAAAAAGAACTGTCTGGTTAATAGCCCTGATCATGTTTCTGTGTTGCACAGTCCAGAAGCCATGTTAGTAACAGGACTCCTACAGAAATTGCTTAAAATTTGCTTTTAAAATTTTGTGGCTAAATCCAAAAAAAAAAAAAAAAAAAACCATACTTACCTTGGACCTACAATATAGACTACTAGTCTTCAAATCCAAAATACTTTTGCTTACAAACTCTGTTACAGTTTAATCAAAATTAGCATTACTTTTTCCCCATA